AATCCCTCGCGCTGGCCAATGAAATCTACTCTTTCTAGCCGCGAAGTGCAGCAAACGATGCAAACGATGGGTATGAAACCAGCTAGGTTCCATCACCTTGTTCCTTATAGCGTCCGTTCCTGTGGCTAACCCCCAACCCTTAACCGCCAGAGTTTAACCTGAACCCTTGAAGTACCCTTGAACCCTAAGCCCTGGCCCGAAACCCTAAACCCTCCAGCTTCAAGTTCCAAGCTATCGGAGGAAATGGCAGGGACATTGTCAAAGACCTTAGGGGAGGCCAGAGGAGCAGTCTTGGATCTGCTTGCATCTTTGGGGCGATTCTGAACGAGTTGCCTAAAATTCAAAAGCAGAATCGAATTCTGATCTAGCTTTCTGCACTTGGAGGAAGGAGTACAGCTGGTTTGAAGTGGACATCTGATTGTTTGAGTAGGGTCAAGATCTATGTACTACTAGACTCAGCGTTTTGCTTGTGCACAGGTAGACTGCAAGGGCAAGGTTTCACGCAGGCTTGGTGTCAGCAGTGCACAGGACCGAAATCTAGGGTGTGAAGCTAGCATGAAGGATTCGGGGTAAGCCGTCCCGATTGATCAGGGTTTAGTTTGCATGGGTCAGAGGCAGCGACCACTTCTGCAGCACGGTCTCCACAGAGGGTTGGGGGCTCACCGGTGTATCCGCCGCTTTCGGAGATTGTGTCTTACAGTCATCTATACCTGAAGAGCAGGATGCCGAAAGGCTTGCTGTTTATTGCATCCAAATGGAGACCCTGAGCCTTCTGCTTCTTCTCCAAAAGCATCCTGCATCCAGGGTCCCCAAAGATTTATTGGATTCTCTTTGCGCGCACCTACATCGACAGATTAACCAGCCACCTGCGTTCAATTGAGCCACATATGCCAAGCTGGAGGGTGACCCTAGTTTCAGGATGCGTATGAATGTTCGTAAGTCTCCATAAGGGCATAGTTCCGGGATCTACAAAACTTGCTATACAGCAATGGGACATATCAGGGTTCCACAAGCCAATTGGGCCAATATCCAGTTTATGGGCGTTCAAAAACATAAGGGGCCTCCTTGGGGCATCCCTGTAAGAAGGATTGTAGTATATGGGGGTCCACATTGGAGCCCCCCGAGTTATGGATACTAAGATGTAGGCCCTTCTCCAAGATAAGTCATCTTTGTAGGAAAGGCCTTAAGCCCTAAAGCCTCAATTCGGAAGGCGCGTCCTAGATCGGAAGTGCCGTGCGGGGGCCGCAGGGAGGTTCCATGTTCAGGGTTTAAATAGGCTTCAGAAAACGCACGGCCTTATGTAGGCTGAGAATTCTTGAAGGTCAGGTTTCAGGGTTTAGGGCCTCAGCGTTCAGCTTGAGTACTTAGGGGCTTAGGGTTGGGGACTTGTTCTTGAGGTCATTTGCCGGGAAACTGGCTACTGTACGTATCTCAAGAATAACCAAGATTATGGTCCTAGATCCCTTGTATAGTTATGGCACAGGGTATCTGAAATAGACCTTCAGATGACATTGGCTGTTATTCGGGCTTCTACATTAGGTATGCTGACAAGCGATCACTGTGGTCATCCTGAACGGGTGGGGGGGGTCATGTGAGGCTGCACTTGTTAGTCTCTTCATTCTGTATGGACTTTGGTCCTAAATTCAAGGCTCACCATCCCGACCCTTTTATGCATTTAAAGCTAACAGCACAAGATACCCAAGTCTCGGTACGTCTTCCTAGACCTTGCTTGCTGCAGCCCAGCCCATACCGCATCTCTCCCACTCCCCAAAGCGGCAGACTTCAGAGCATCTGCACACGTGGCACATGGCTTCGGCAGAATGCTCATTGAGCGCCATTTGAAAATACATCTACCACAATGAGATAGTGGCCAGATTGGGAGTTATTGGGCAGCTGCTCTCATGGAGCTGTCACGGTCAGGGCCTCCAAAAGTGTGTAGTGTGCGTATATTACACCCTGAAGGGAATTCCTCTAAACCCTGTCGGATGAGGCAAGTCTCTGAACTTGCAGCCTAAATCCTGCACCTAATCGCTACACCCTTGAAGCTGGGGGAGCTCGACCTGAGGCTGCACAGATCGCTGGCCAGTGGTGGTTCTTGAGCAGCTCTTGAGCGGCGGAGGACTGGGCGTTTGCAAGTACAGCAGGTGAGTACATGAGAGTGGGTTGAAGTACAGGAGGGCTCTGTGTAGCAGTGTCAGGCTTGCGTTTTGGGATGGTTTTTCCTGGGCTCAAATGCCAGAATCTGCCAAGTTTCAAGGCACATAAGCCCCGGTAGCCCAGCACGCGCCCAGCCTTTTTGAGGGTGCATTCCCATGTTCTGCAGCCTTACCTTGAGCATCCTCACCCAGCTCCACCCCAAAATCCTTACCCCCAACCCAAGGCTTTATAGCCAACATCCCTTCATGTCATGACATGGGAGCGAGTACCTAGACCCTCCAACTACGCTCTATTCGGGCCTTAGTACCAAATCTGAAGGGGCCATATATCCCAATTAAGGGTACTAGGAGGGTTTGGGTGGTTTTGGTAGTCCTTTCCTGGAGTGGCCTTGTCGCAGACGGGGTCTCCACATCCCAAAGTGTTGGCTAACTGTTGGTCTTTGAGAAGCTCCATGAACCCGACAAGCGAAACCTAAACCCCAAGGCAAATACCACGACCCTCCTTGTACCTGCTATCATGGTCTAAATACCCATTATTGGATAATATCCTATCATCCTGCCCCATTTGAGGGTACTCGGGGGTGGTCTGGTAGTCATGTATCAGGCCTAAAACAGCTGGACACACCTACAGCCCCTAAACCCCCAAACCCCTGAACCCTTAATAACCTTAATATAGCAGTCTCCATGTTCTTTTCCATTATCCCAATATTACCGCAATATAACCCTGATATAATCCTTAAAGTTGCAGGCCTTTGGCCAAGGTTTGACAAGCCCCCCGCCTTTCCCCCCTTCGTAGAACTTTGGCTTATAGTCCCCCTTAAGTAGATAGAACATGGGGTATATGGGGATCTTATTATAATATACCCAAAGCCATATTCTATCTACTTCAGGGGGACTATAGCCTTTTGGGGTTCGAGTTCGGCTTAGCTTTTCTGGTGAACACCCAGACAGGCGTATGCGTCCATTTCGCCCTCAATGCAGTCTGCAGGAGAGATCCCCGCTCCACGAACCGACCGCGACCGCAATGCAAAGCAGAAGCTGGTGGCCAAACTACTTTGCCGCGCAGCTGAACAGTCCACTTGCGTGGTTTTGGGGGATCCAGACCCTAGGTGACGCTTGGGGTCCAAGTACCCAAATGACTTTAGGCTCCAAATACCATAATCTGAAAGGTATTTGGGACCTAGGAAGAAGTTGCCTCGAAACAGAGCGCTAGCGACAAAGGTGGGCTTGGATTCACAGGGCTAGGCAGGATTGCAGCCTAGGATTCACAAGAAGCTAGATTTGATTACAACTTCGAACCTTCAAGGACACACATCGCCATTCGAATAAGGGAGTTGATGGACGCATTCATGCAGCCTCCAAACTTGGATGGTGGCAGATTTTCGGGCATGTCTGAAGGTTCAAGGGAGAAGGTCTCTATTCTCTCCATTGAGCCTGCAATGGACCTCATGGATGGTAATCCCTTCCCCCTTGATTTTAGCACCCTAAACCCGAAACCTTAAATCCTCAACTAAAAACCCTATAAATCCTCAAGCGTGCTCTGCCGCCAAGCATATTTATTGTTGAAGCCGGCCTCCTGTTTTTTTTGCTACTGCATGGAGACATCCATGGCCTGTATCGTAATGTGGAGACTCATTGCCTTTTGTGGGACATCTAGTAGTTTCCCTAAATGGGAGGAATAGACCCCAAATATCCTCGTTATAAGGACCCACAAAAGGGTACCCCTCAGTTTTGGGAAACCCTAAACCCTAATCCCTAAATCCTAAACCCTATATATCCCCTATAGTCCCTTCAAAGGTATCCCTAATTTTCAGAAGTCTCCCTAAATTTTAGAAGGCTTCGTCGCCAGCGCAGCTTTATATTCAACAG